GTGTGAGACCCAGTGCTGACGAAACTATGGGGAGGGGGGGGGTTGAAGGCAAGGGGAGAAGACGATGTCTTTGAGTCCACGTAGGAAAAGAATGGTTGGAGGCCAATTGTGGGAGCGATTGCACAGTTCTGCTTGTGGTGATTGAAAGATGGAGTGATGTGTTATATGAATCAAATCCTAACTTTAAAAAAAAGTGTTACAAAGTGAGGATGTTCCTTTGAGGACGATGTTGTGCACGACCCAAACCATGGTGTTGGCAATCGCCTCAGACAAAGGTGACAGTGACCCCTGCATAAAGGTCCCAGAAGAATCGAGGCGTTTCAATACGGTGCTGGTGAAGAATATTGAACGTTCCACAGACTGCCAAAAGAACCAACAAATCTTGCTCAGAATTACGCCCGGTATGCTCCTTAGGATCGCGACACTCCATCCCCAGTACTACAATCTGCTACAGGTGCGTTTAACTTCGCTTGATGGGGTTCCCAGTCAGAGCCTTCTGGCGTGGCCTAGGTAGCATGCTGTGTGCTTCAAAAGGACAGACTCTAACGTCCCAGTTGTCTATAGCCTGCAGCCTGGGTCACCAAGGGCTGGATCAAAACTAGGTCAAAATTGCCCCGTTAGGAGGATACTTGGAGCAATCTCCCATTGGGGGTGCACGAGAATAATATTAATTGTCTTTTCCCCAATGGCCCGTTACCCTACCTGGTCTACCCAGCAATAGGGGTGTACCCACCGTCTCTAGGACCAACTTGCCCACCATCTCTGGGCTGGAATTTCCGTTGAGGTACACCGAACAACCTTGTAGGAGTGTCTGTTGATCTGCGGAGACCATTGAACAATGGCATATGGCAGGAACCGATTGGACTTTTTCTTCTCCTCACAACGTGAGAGACTGACCTCAATTGAGGTGAGGCCTCCTCGGTCAAAGTGGTTGGTCAGATGTACAAAGGATTGGGTGATGTGGATCATGAGCAGGAGGCAGGCACAGCACCGCAGTGCTGGGGAGACTGGATGAGGCAACTATATGACCTAAGAACAGATGGCTGCCTTTGCCTTGGTTTGTATTCCTTATTGTAACCTCTTGGGATTGATGAACATGACCCAGTATAATGACTTCCACATCCGTCTGTGTCATGAGGGGTTTCATCGCTCTTTTTTAGGGGTGCATCGTATTGAACTGTGCGCCTGTACCAGAGTGCGCCCACCGTCCTACTGATGGGTACTTGGGCTGCTTCTAGCTTCTTGCTACTGCGAACTGTGCTGCAATGGACATAGGAGGAGCACATGTCTGTTTGTGTCATGTCTTTTCCTTCTTAGAGGCACAGACCAGGCAGAGAGATTGTGGGTTTGTATGGTATTTCTGTGCCCAGTTGCATTAGGTAGCACCCTTTCCCTTGCCACCATGACTGCACATGCTTGCAAACCCAGCAGCAGTGGTTAAGAGTTCCAGTCTCTCCACATCCTCTCCAGGGTCTGTTCGTCTCCGGTTCTATGAATTGGGCTCTCACTGTGGGTGTAAGGTGATAGCTCATTAGTCTTTCAGTTTGCATCAGCTGAATGGCTAGTGGTCGTGAGCATGTTTTCATGTTATTTGTTAGCCATTTGAGTGTCATCCGGGGCGAACTGTCTGTTCGTGCCTTCTGCCCACTTTTTAATTGTATTGTATTTTTTTCCCCTGAGGTGTTGCAGGATTCTAGGTTTTAATATGTGGTCCCTTGGCCATTGTGTCAACATCACGAACGATACTGTCAATAGAATGATCATATGCCCTAGGAGGGTGATTGTGTATCTTTAAAAAAAAAAAAAAAGATTCTCTGTCTTATAAAAGGACGATGTTGTATCTAAAGTGGCCCAGAAACATATAAACCATAGATACATGCCCGAGTGGTGGCAACGGGAGAGTGACTGCTGAACGCACGGGATCACCTCTGGAGATGTGAAAGAATATTCTGGATCCAGGTAGTGTTGAATTTTATGTTAGTGAATTTTATACCAGTTAGCACAAAAGATCTCAGGGATTTTCTCAGTTTGCTGGAATTACACATCCAAATCCCTTCTGAGAAAAGGTTTCTTTGCTAGCTGTTGACTTGTGTAGGTGCATTGACATTGAAGGGGAGCTGTTAGGGACATGGACTGCCAAAAGAACAAACACGTCTGTCTTGGAAGATGTATGATCAGAATGCTCCTCAGGGGCAAGGCGGTCGTGACTTGGTCTCTCAGACTTTGGACTTGTCAGGAGAGACCAATCCCTGTTTGGTAAAGGAGGGGCCGTGAAAACCAGAAAGGCCTTCAACAAGATGCATTGACACGGTGGCTGCAACGTTGCGCCCAAACATAAGAGCAATTATGAGGATGGCTCTGGTCGGAACAGTGCGCCGTTCTGTTGTACGTAGGCTCACGGTAAGTCGGGACTGTCTCCATTGCAGCTAGCAGCAACAAGATCAGGGACCTTTCTTTCACTGTACAAAAAGTTTGAGCAAGAATGTGCATTGGCTGATGGAGAAAGATAGCCCCTAAACTGACCACTAGTCAGGCCTGGAGTATTAATTCCAATATAAGCTTTATAAGTCATGAAATCTCTAGTTTGACCTTGAACATAGTTGGTTAGAGGAATTTTATTTGTCAACTCCACATCTAATGCCCTCATAGAACGTCATGAGAGAGCCTTCCGTAGACCCCTCTTTCAGGCTGGGTGAAAGGGGAGAGACCACCTGCTCCTTCACCCCCATCAAAAAAACAAAACAAAACAAGAAAAGCTGCCAAGATGCATTTCTTGGTTGGAAAACCCCTGGCATATATATCTCATTCCAACACAATGAAGTTAATGTGTAGAGCAATGTGTGTCCCTTTATTTACTTTCTTAGTATTTGGCGTCCCTCTGCCTGTCATTAGAAAAACGGTACCCTGGAGGCGAAATCGAGCCGAAATTGGCTTATCAAGCATGTCTGCAGTGGAGCATCAAAAGCGTTAAGGTCTTTGTTAAACAGGGAGGGGTGATGACTTGGAAGGAACACTCAAACAAACCAATGAGTCCTGAAGACTAAAGACTTTTTCTTTTATTATGGATGAAGACAATTACCCTCCTGAAGCCATTTGATAAAGACATGCATCCTCCTGCTGCACCTGAAAATAGCCATAGAGCTGAGTTACGAAGGGACCAGGGTTGCCCTTCTTCAGCCTCCCTTTAAGACATGTGCTTGTCAATGGACCCTGACGTCCTAAATCAGGGGTGGGGAAACCACCTGGCCCTGGGGCAGTAGAAGGCCCAGCAAATGGGCACATCAGCCAACATCGCAGGCCTTCCCCAAGAGAAGCCATTCCTGCCATCCCATTTGGAGTCTGTGAGTTACATGCCTGACCAAATATAAAACCAAACCAAACATGCTGCCATCCAGTCAATGCTGCCTCATGGCGACCCCCTGGGGGTTTCTGAGAGGTACCTCTTTATGGCACGAGAAAGCTCAGTCTTTCTCCAGTGGAGCTGCTGGTGGTTTGCAACTGACGTGCATGGGGATAGCAGCCCAATACGTAACCACTGCACCAAGTATAGCAGGCCGATTATGGCGTTGTTAAATCTGCACGGGCCACGAATGGTGTTATAAATATCCAGTGGCCTTTGGCAGCAACCGCTTCCCCACCCTGTTGTAAATATTCAATAGCAAAGTACAGGATGATGACAATGCGACTGCTCTTGCGGATCCAGGTTTTGAGCACCTTTTTCCGGTGAGGCCACAGACCCGTGGAGCAGGAAATATGCTGTAGTGGGGAATTTCATCTTCCAAGAAACAAGTCTTACTGAAACACACCCCCACTGCCCTCAAGTTAATCCCAACTCATCGCGGCCCTACGTAGGGTTTGTCCAAGACTGAAGTCTTTACAGGAGCAGAGAGCCTCCACTTTTTCACAAAATGCCTTCTCAGTAAGGCATACCCGTTGTAGCCCAGCTTAGCATAAAGGACTGCATTTGGTTCAAACCTGCCTTCTTGGTCTGTGCTCAAGCCTGCCAGCAGCTGGCTGTCCCAACCCCGCTGCTCCTGATATCCTGAGGGACCTTGACTCTCTGGGGATGTCTCCAGGCCCTCCTGATCAGCTGCTTGCCCAATGCAATCTATGCTGCCAGAGCCTGATGTTCCTCGGGCCCCTCCCACCCTCCTGCCTGCCCTCTGACCAAAGAATGCCACTGCCTGCATAGTCTCCCTTCAGCCAGCCCTCTGCTTGAACTGCAGAAATCTTGTGCTTCCTTGTTCAGGGTCCAGAGTGAAGAAGACCTTAGTGGACTCTCGTCCAGCTGTAATAAAGCAGGTTTGACCTTTCCTTAAGTGGTGTGTGTGTGTGTGTGTGTGTGTGTGTGTGTGTGTGTGATTTAATCTGTGGTGCGCTAGAACAGGAACACTGAGGAAAGGCCTCCTGCGTGTTGAGGACAGGGAAACAGGCTTGGGCATCCATGCATGAGCTACTTCCTAAAGGCTGACTTACTTCTATGTGAGTTCCACAACCTGGGCAGCACTTTGAGTTCTGTTCCAGCCATGCCTCGCTTTGCATCTCTTCCATTGCCATCTGAAGGATCCTCTTCCCATACTTCCTCTCCATAAGCATTCTTCCATTTGTATCGGCACACCGATACTCCTTTTGTATCTGCAGTAGCTTCTCTAGAGCATCAAGTAAAAAATTGGCTTTCATAAGTGTTTGCAAAGAGGGCAAAAAGCCAATGAGAACAACAGACCCTTTCCCTTGATGAGACCGTCCAGGCACTCTATCACGAAGGAAAAAACAAACCCTCCATAACATATTGCCATAGCTCCATGCACCACCATGCCTACGAATGTGACTAAAGCATCATTCCGTGTAGCAGAGTCATGCAACCGAATAGTACTCATTCACGGAACGTTTCTGATTTGGAGTGCTCTAGCCAAAGTAGGATGGAAATGAGCAAACAGACACCTGTATTTGTGCTGTAATCAGAGAAGAATAACGGGGGCACAAATGAGAAAGAAAACAGTGATGCCACCAATTGGAAAACTGTGACTTTCCACCACAAACTCACTCCCAGCGAGTCAGTGGCGACTCCTGGCCACCCCCGATGGGTTTCTGAGACTCTGAACTGCTTCTGAGAGTAGGAAGCCCCATCGCTCTCCTCAGGATGGGCTGGGGGTTGCAACCTGCCTGCCTTCATGGGGATTGACTACACTGGATCCTCTAGGTGGCCTGCTGTGGGGCCGCTGGACTCCCCTGCCCCATTAGAAACATGGAGCTTGCGGGTTTGTGCCTGCCTGGCTGCAGAAAAGGGGGTCAGACAGACCCCTATGGAATAAGGCAATCCCCCCACCAACGTCGTGCCGGTGAGGTGGCCTGGCCATGGCTGTATCAAGGGACACCAGTTGCCGAGAGCGGTCGGGCCCCTCTCTGAGATGCCAGTAGGCTGCCAACAGTTCCCTGGAGACAAACCTGGGCTGGTGCCCTTCCGCTGTGCTGCTATGATTGTCCAGAGCCGGGGGCCACCTCCAGAAGACCCTCCTGTGAGATAGCCTAGGTACATCCAAAGGTGAAGGTGATCATGGAGTCCAGCCTCCAGGGCGGGAAGTTTCAAACAGCGCAGCACACCTAAACTATCTTCTCATCTCTGAGATTCCAGGGGAACCAGAAGGACAACTTCTTTTGCTGTAATAGCAGCCGCCAAACCCTTGCCTACCCCTGAGGCTCAGCTTCTCTTTTCTATCCGGAGTCAAACTCTCGCGTTCACCAAAATACATCCTCACCACAGAAAACGAAGACATTCACAGAGAAGGCCTGAACCCGGTGGGAACCCTTCTAGCTCAGGGACCTGAGCATCTTTTCCTAGAGCATCCCGGCAGGAAAGAGACGGGTCTACCTCAGCCCATCAGAATGGGGTGCCAAGAAAAATGAGCCTAAGACCAGAACCCGGGGACTCGGAGGGGATAAGCAGGAGAGCCCTCTCTGCGGTTATCTGCCCATTAGGGACCCAAAAGGGCAAGAAATCCTCCCAGGGATCCAGCCACAAGATGGGAGAACAATCCCAGACCAGGTTAGATGGGTGGGAAGAGCCATTTTTCACGTGCCCGACCTTTTCCTGGGGGGCATGGGCCCTGAGTTAGGACGAACCGGTCCCTTGACAGAGGGGCCAGGGATGGGAGTCTGCAATGACTAGGCAAGTGGGGCTTTGGTCTGCACTCTCTTGTATGTTTCCCTTCTTTTCCCTACAGACCTTGCAACCCTGGGACAAATTCACTCCCACACAAAGCCCACAGTGATTCCGTGAGATGACATCGTGAAGAACTGGAGCGAACTGTGCCTCCAGCTAGACTCCCTGAGGGGAAACATTGGCATCTTCCTGTAATCCCCCATGGAGAATGGAGAGTCCCGGCTGCCAGGTGGCTCTTTACAATACAATACCATGTTGGGGCGAGTTCTCTTCTGCCACTCTGAAGGGAAGTGGCCCAAGGTCGCAGAAAGGCAGGCTTTTATGGCTTTGTGGGATCACTTGGACATTTGCTGGGCTTGCTCCCTGAGTGTCCTACCCAAGCCCATCCAAAACTTCCCAGCCATGTCGATGGTGAAAACTGTGACCCTCAAAACCTAGAGTGCACCCCCAAACCTCCTCCCTTAGAGTGACCCATGTCAGAAGATGTTAAAAGCCCCAAGGTCCCCCCAGAGCCTGGCCACTTGTCTACAGAGGAGACTTGCCAGGTTCCCCCTCACCTGGAACGGTGGCTCTAGCCTGCCCTATGCCCTGTATAGGATAAGACCAGAGGCAACAGCCAAGAGGCCCGACGGCATGGCCCCTTTAGCTTGGGAGACCTAAAAGTGTGGAAAGAGAAGTGAACGCCCTTTCAGAGGAGACCCTGACAGGCAGGGGCTTGCTGTGCTCTGGGGAGTGCTCTGGGGCTTGCTGACCACCTTGGACATGACCTGGAAGCACTTCACAGCTGCCCTGGCATACATTTAGTCTCCTGTTGAAAGAGGCTGACTACTTGATGTGGCGGGTCACCAGGCCGCCAATAGGAGCGTCGTGAACCCCCGATTATCTCATGGCCCGGTGAGGATCCGCGATGGAATTACCAAGTAGACCGGGCTGGTAATGCTGCTTCGAGCAGGCGGGATTCTATGCCTTATGGAGGGAATAAGGAAAATTGAGGGAATAGGAAAATTGAGACACAGCCACGGAACGCTCTAAACCAGCAGAGCTACTCCAGGCCCACGGAGAGAACCCAGCTGCTTTCCAAAACTGACTGGTCCCGAAGAGGGCCAGGGTCACCAACTTAGACCCCGAATCACTTTGGGGTAAGATAGCTTTCCTTTTTTATATTCATTTTATTGAGGGCTCATACAAGTCTTACCACAATCAGGTAAGACAGTTTTAAATACTCAGTGCATCAACCACACTTCGCAAGATATTAGGGCAGAACTCCAGAGAAAAGCCCTGGGACTGCAGCCAGAATGGATGGTGCCGGTACCCCTAAGGAATGAGAGCCCTGACTCTCGGAGTAGGGATAGATAAAGGCAGGGAAAGCCACATGGCCGGTCAAGCGATGAGTCTCACTCAATCGGGGACCACGGTTTGAGTGCCCCCCAGACAGGAACAACCATCTGTTTTTGAAAGCCCCCAGGCCTGAGCTCAACGGCCCCCACCAGACTTCAAAAAGGGCCCCAGCAGCTCCGAGCAGTGTCTCACTTCCCTCACTCTTTCTGCAGATGAGACCCACTGTGGCTCCGTCCCCAGCGGATCCTGACAGTACTGCTTAATAAGCCTGCAGCGCTGCCACCTCCTAAAAACAAAGAAACAAATTTGAGAGGCACTGCGTGTATGTCATACATGAGATAGATGTGAATCTCTTGGGGCCGAGGGCAGGCTTTATCAGAGAGGCCCCCGGGTGGCCCCCATATGCACACCTTTTAGAATTCTATGACTTGAGTGTTGGTGGGACCTGTGACTTGCTCACAACCTACAGCCTATGGAAAAGGTGGTGGGGTGTCACTCCCGCCATTGCGTGCTTTGGCTAAAGTGCTGGGATCACACTCCTATGATCACTTTGCCTGATAAAAGATTCTGTCCTAGCAGACTGGCGAGACGGACTCTGCTTGCGGAGTTTGCAGACGTACGCTGCCATTCTATTTGAACACCACTGAATCCTCAAATCTCGGAAAGGGTCTCTCACTGCCATGGAGTTGATGCCTATCTTCTAGGGTCGGGACGCTCCATGTCTTCCAGAGACTACAGGATTAGAAAGCTTTGTCTTTCTCCTGAGGAACACCTGGTGGTTTTGAACCAACGATCTTGCAGTTAGCAGCCCAACCTGTAATCACTATGCCACCAGGGTTAGGCATAAAAACATTTTCCAAACTAAAATGACCACTGGGCGAAAAGGATTTTATTTTCAGAGCTCGAGGTGACACACCCCAACGTACCCGTTGTTATCTTGCATGAAGAAATGCTGTGGTAGGTGTGGCGGCACACGGTACAGAAGGCATAAGTGCAGCTGCCACATACTCCCAATCTGGATTCTTGGTCCTCGACCACAGGCCGCTGACAGAACGCCCGGGGGCAATTCACCACATCCCCCATCAGGTCCAAGGTGGCCTGGAGGAGAAGGTGTTCATGACGTTCAAATAGCCCCTTTTCCACAAGTCCTCTCACCCGGAGGGAAACAGAAATGGCTCTGACTCTGATTCTACACCACCAGGAAATTCTTAGGCTTCTTGCCCAATTCAGGGGCACAGACATTTTAGACTTTGATTTCATGCCAAGGATGGCAGTCCTTTGCTTACAACCAGGTGAGAGAAAAACAACCAGTGAACTCTTGGAAGGGGTGTGGACCACAGACATTAAACTCAGCTAAGAATGGTTAGAGCAGGGGTTCTCAATCTGTGTGTCTTGCCCCCTTTGGGGGTCGGACGACCCTTTCTCGGGGGTCGCCCGATTTAGAACAGGAGCATAATGACAGCGATGAAGTAGCAACAAAAGTATTTTATGGGCGGGGGAGTGTCACCACAACATGAGGAAGTGTATGAGAGGTCACAGCATGAGGAAGGTTCAGAACCACTGGGTTAGAGCGTTCTCAAGTAGGACGGTATGTTAACAGGCTTACAAAGTTACTAAGTCCCAGCATTTCAAACAACCCTTGTTCCTGCTAAAGGCTCCTCCTTCCCAGGCCAGCGGCTGGGAGCTTAGATTGTCCTGCACTCCAATGTGAACACAAGCAGCATTCTCCATGGCAATGAGAACCAACAAACCATGTCTACTGGCCTGGGAAGTTCTTGCTGAGCTCCCAGGAAAGGAAGTCCTTGAGCAGCAGGCTCCCGGTGGGAAAGAGAATTGGGATGGAAGATGCCCATAGGGTTAGCAGTTACCTGATTGGGGATGGCCTCTGAAGAGCACTTTGGTTCTGGACAGGTGAGGCCATGGACCCGTCCATCCTTGATCTGGATCTCAAAGTACTCCTTCATACAGCCCTTGCAGTATACATGCTTGCAGTTCAAGAAGTACATGCAGTCACTGCCCAGCTTGTTACTGAAGCATCTAGTGCATGTGTATACTTTTTTGTTAAAGCTTCTCTTCTGCTGAATTTCATCGAACTCCAGGACTTCCCAGAGCAGACTCAACGATTCAGCATCCTGCCTGGCTCTCTCATCCACAGGCTCCGCTGCGTCTTCCTCAACGTCAGCTGCTCCTTTGAGACAGAATTCTCCTTCGGGGGTAGCTGGGTCTGCTCTATCCATGCCTCCCTGAAAGCCACATTTGAGCTCGAAGGGAGAGGTGACGTTCAGGTAGGTGAGAGCCTCATCCTTAAGAAACTGGATCCATGTAAACAGGATTGCGCTGCCACGGTGTTCTTCCCAGACATTGCCCAAGCACTTGCAGAGAGCAGTTAGCTATGAGAAGCAAAGAAGACATCAGTGAGTTTGGAAAAGCGATCATATTGTCTTCTCAATGTGGACTTCTTCCAACATTTCTCTTCCCCCTCTGTGTTTCATGACCTGCTTACTGAAGAACTGAAACACGTCAAGCACAGGCTTTCACTTCAGCGACACACTGCGCTTTTGAAAAAATGCAGTCATTTGATCCCTAATCCAGGTGGCGTACACGAACAGAGCAGAAAGTTAGGAGATAGGAGCAAGAAGCACCCTAAAAATCATTACAGACACTGGAAAGGCGATGCAGGTACAAATTTAACTATTCAGATAAAAATACTGCCAATGAGCAAGAAAACGGAAGCACTCTAACGTCCCACCAGGAAGAATAAAGAAACTCTCTTCACATACAGTGGAATAGTATGCACCCCTAGAAAACAGTGACAAATCCATGAAGCACCTCATTACACAGATGGGCCTGGAGAATATTATGCTGCATCACGTTAGGCGTAAAAGGACAGATAATATATAATGTCACTATTATAAGTGGAAAAAAATAACCTAAAAAAAGACATTCATACCAAAGGAAACAGACTTTGGAGACTGTCCAAGGCAGGAGGGGAAGGTAGGGAAGAGAAAGCAGTGGACTAAACAGGGGATGGGTGTGAGCTAACTTCAGTGTAATGGGAAAGAGAGAGAGGAAATAATACAGAAAAGTCACCAAGGAGCAGGTTAAGGGTTAAATGGTGGGATGCTCAATGCAAAGTTGAGGATCTGGATTGTAACGTTCCTCCTGATTTACGACAACTGCAGCATAGGAATACTGCTACTTGGGTTTCCGTCTTCGTTTCCTCGTTTATTTCAAAATCTACATGCACCTTAAGTAGATCCAGAAATGAAATAATTTTAAAATGGGGTGCTTTGGCTTATGGGCTGTCTAGGACCTCGGGACTAACGATTTGAAACAGAACTGTTTGAAAATGTTGCCCTCATGTTTCGACCCATAACAGGTCCCCCAAAGAGTGGCATTGTCTTAAGGCAAAGCTCGCATGTTTCTGTTACACAAATCTCTAAGGGATTTATTATTGGTTTAGAAAGGAATGCATTGGGGGTGGGGGGCAGTGAAGCAGGGGAAAGTATGGAATAGAAGAGAAATACACGTATGAGATGTTTGCCAATTGCTTTAGAACCATCACAAATGGGTAGAGTGGAGGTCCTGTACCAAACACCACAAAAAGGTCAAAGATGCAGGTGTTCAAGGTCTTAGCAAGCCTGTAAAGTTCAGTCTCTGGGATTAGGAATTGAGGGGGTGGGCCTTGGTTTTGGATGGAACTCTGGGTGTGTGGGCATCATCCATGCTTTAACCAGATGTGGACAGAGGCTGGCCACTTGGCCCAGGGAGAAGTAGGTGAAGAGTTTGCTTTCGTGTGTCACATAACTAACAAAGCTTCTGTCCATGAGGCAGTGCCTGGTGTTGCTGAACTTCTCGGCAAACTCCTTCTTGATATGGGCTGCAATGCCACTCTCTATGCCGTCTTTCTCCAGCGCCGGAGCCACCCACTGCATGGAGTCCTGGTGCATCCCCTTTGACATATTGGCATTTGTGATCACGGACTTTCAGTCACAGGTAGTTTACACTGTGGAGCAGCGATGAGGCCACTGAGATGGTCTCCTGGGGGAGAGCTTAGAGCAGCTCTAGCCCAGGGACAGGAGCCGCTACTGAAGCCTTGGCGCAATCCACAAAGCTCACATTGCTTATGCTAAGCAAGCAGAGGAGGAAGCATTTGGCTGTTCCTACTTAAAAGCCTGACCCGGCCACGGCATTTTCCGTCACCTCATGTGCATGGGGAAGTTGGATATTGAATAAGGAAGACCAGAGATGAACTGATGCCTATGAATTGTGCAGCTGGCAAAGAATATTGCCACGGACTGCCATACGAACCAACAAACCTCCTTGGAAGAAGTACCGTCAGAATGCTGCTTGGAGATAAGTATGGAGAGATGTGTTCTCTTGTACTTTGGGACATGTTGTCAGGAGGAGAGACCAGTCCCTGGAGAAGGGCATCCTGCGTGATACAGTGGACGGGTGGCACAAAAGAGGCAGGCCCTCAAGGAGATGGACGGACACAGTGGCTGCTACCATGGGCTCAAGCACAGGGACCATTGTGAGGATGGCGCAGGACTCAGAAGTGTTTCTTTCTGTTGCTAGCGGTCCGAACCAACTCGATGGCACCCAACAGCAACGACAACAAAACGGGGCTCCAAAAATAAGACGAATAGTGGATTCTAACCTGGATTGGTGACAGCCACTTTCCACTCAGCGTGAATGCAGGTGGGGAGTTAGATGGATAATCTGGTGGCAGTTCAAACGTCAGCACAAGAGGAGGCAGAAAGTGAATCACATGTTCATTGCCACTTTTCTGGTGACCATCTGCTGGATTTCCTGAGACAAAAATAAAGGCATTGATCAAAGGGTGCATGTTGGACCGTGCGCAGGAATGGCTGGCCTCTGTAGGTGCTGGAGATGTTCCATGAAAATACAATCCACCTTCCCATTTCCAGCCCACTGCCAACCCCTTAGGGAAAAAGCTGTTTTCTTGGAAGCAATTGAAAATAAACTAAGGCTCCTAAAACACATACTACTGATACATACCATCTCCTTTTTTTCATATGTTGAAATGTATTCCTCATAGGCCCTGAAACCTATAGTGTACGTTTAAAGTGTATATTTCAGTGAGTTTTAGCCTATTCACAGAATTGTGCACTACTAAGTTGAGGATATTTTCTCACGACCCTGTTCTTCGCCCCAATCCCCATCCCCACCCCCCCAAAAATCTAAATGCATTAACACTAAAAACCACTTCCTCTTCTCAGCACTCAGTAACCCTCTTCTGGATAGTTCATAGAAATGGAATCGCCCCGACACAACCGCTGAAGACAAAGCGGGTGAATAAGCAAATGTGGTGAAGAAAGCTGATGGTGCCCGGCTATCAAAAGATATAGCGTCTGGGG